ATTACGCCCAGGAAGGCAGGAGGGCCCTTGTGGCCCAGTGAGGGGAGGTGGTTTGGACGTGAGCGGAGCCTCTGAGTGCGTGATAAAGACAGCGTGTGGTGAGCAGAGGCACGTGTCTGCGGCGTGAGAGGCAGCTGCGGGAGAGACTCTTCAGTTGATGCCACAGTTTATTCCAAGACCCACAGGGTACAGAACAGAGTCAAAGCAGGGAACATGACGGCCTCTAGGGCAGCCTCCTTCCTCGGGGGTGTAGGGGAGTGGAGTAGCGGCCCGCCAGGTCTGACCAGGAGTTTGCTCTGGCTGCTTCAAGGAGATTATCTAACTCTAGTAAGTTACTCCCAAATGAACTCCCCTCCAGCTAACCACCGTGTTCGTCCATGGGACCCCCAAGTGCACGGCATGGAGGGCAAGGGGCTAAGGTGATAGGACCACAGATGCAGTCATAGGAGTAGGTACCCAGGTGAGGCCTGGAGCAGGGGGTTCCAAGGTGAATAGGCAGAGAACCTGCTACCTGGGAACTTTCTTAGCATAGTGATTGGGCTAACACACTTCCAGTTATCAAGTTATTTTTTTCTGCCAATATTATATTTATTTATTCAACATTAAATGAGTTAAGTACCCACTATGAGCCAGAGACTGTGCCTGAAGCTAAAAGTACACAAAGAAATGGGAAGAGATGCAAGATGGATATGATCAGAGTCTTCCTGGGAAGCTCATAAACACAACACATAGTGCTGAAAAGATACAGACACCAAGGTCTAAGAACACACAACGACGCTGTAATTTACTGAAGCGTGTCAGGGAAAGATTCTCAGAAGTGTTGATATTTAGTTAGGTCATGAAGAAAGGGTGGGAGTTGGCCAAGCTGAGAAAAAGGCTGGAAGAAGTAACCAGTATATTAATGATTAAAAATGAAAAATCTGGATGAAACTGCCCTGGGTTCAAATGCTAGTTCAATCATTTACCACCTGTAAAACCTTAATCTCGCTGAGCCTTAACTTCCTCATCTATAAAATGGGAATAATTGCACTCAAGTCATAAAGAGAATGAAATGGGGTGGTAGCTGTAAAGTTCTTGGCACAGTGCCAGCCAAGTCATCACCTGCAAATGGCAGCTATGGCCATTCTCTAGCGCATTTATTCTTGTTCTAGGCCCTTATGAAAGTGGTAAAAACACAACCCTGAGAAATCCCAGACTTCAGGGAGGCCCAGAATTCGAGGAGGCTTTGGTTCATGGATCTTCAACAGCCCTCTGGTTAGACAGAACATATTAGCAGAGTGGAATGTGCTAGCACAGTGGAATATTCTTGTATCTTAGCTTGTAAAATATACAGGTACATTTCCTCCAGTTCTCTCTTAATTTCTGCCCATTCTGACTCTACAGCATGAGTCACACCCAGCCTGTAACTGGCAAATCCCAATGGGGAGGAACTGAAATGCCAGCCACCGCCCCTCCCCCACTCCCACCACCCGCACCTTCCCCGCAGGGCGAGCCTCCCCTGCCCACAGCCACACCGGCCTCATGTGTCCTCTCCCTGCCCCGCCTTGAAACAAGAAAGAGTAGGACAAGGGGAATTCGAGTTTCGTGTTAACAGAACTGAGGGGGAAATGAAGCTTCTGCAGTCACCCTTTAAAGTAGTGCTGACACAGCTTAGCAACCCGCGACCCCCTCATAGGCTCAAGCCATGATGCACTCAGGTGTGGAACTTCCCAGGGCTGAAGTTACGGGCTGCTTCCGAAAGCAGAAGCTGTCATGGGGGTGACAGCAAGCTTAGGACAGGAGATCGCCCAGGCTGGGGACCCCATCAAGGTCTTCTACTTCTGGAGGACGACGCTTGCTCCCTGGTTTGGCTCAGCTAGGCTTTTACCGCTGAGAAGAGCCAGTGGTTGGCGGCATAGTTAACCGGGTGTTCCAAATGTTCAAGCACGATCTAGTTTATCTCATACCTTTTGGCTTCATATTGGGCTGTGCCAGCTCTAAGAAGTGCCCCTTTGCCCAGCTGCCCTCAAGGGCCGCTCAGGTAGAAAATCACTTGCTAACTCCAGCCCTGGTCACACAGGCTGATGTCTTCTGTGGACAAGGAAGGGTGGCCTGGAAGGGCCCCATCTGAAGATTGGGGCTACACTGAGAGCTAGACAGCCACCCATCCCGTGGAGAGGAAGCGGTCAATCTATCAACTTGCAATCTCAGAAAAAAAAGAAAGAAAGAAAGAACAGCACTTTAGCTGGGGGAACTGCGTGATTTATCTTTAGAAAGAGATGGTATATAAATAAATTCAGTAAATCACTGAGTTGGAGGAGACCCAACTGCTTAGAGTTAGGGAAGAAACTTAGAGAAAGGTCAAGCCTACAATTTCCTATATTAAGCTATCCCTGAGGAAAGAAAGAAGAGTCTTACAGGGAAATGGGCTATAGTCTTCTCTTCCTCCACTTCTTTAAAAGAGAGAAATTAAATTAAAAGGTCAGTGTTTTAAACTGCTCCTAATTGCAATAACTGTATCTTTTTGAATCTTAAAATACCCCCATCACCTTACTTTGCGGTTATAACCGTCCTTTCACAAGCTCTTAAAAGAGCTTTTATGAGGCTTCAGTGAACTTTGAATTGTCCTAACTCCAACACAGTTTGGAGGCCAAGAAGCTAAGAGCAGCCTCTCAAAGTAGGAGTGGAGGTTTTCCTAAGTTGGAAAGTTTGACCTCAAACTTTGCCTGCCTGACCAGATCTGCACATTTGAGCACTCAGTGCCATGGTTTTGTCTTTAGTAAAAAGACAAAGAGATCAAACTGATAATTATACTAATCTGGCTCGAAGGGAGGCCAGGAGCAAAGAAATGGATGTGTGAACGTCCAGAAGTCTCCACACTCTGAAATGGTTGAATCTGGTCAGTCTATGCAGAGACATCAAGCTCTGGTCTTAAGTCTCCATGTTACCAGTGTTCTTTGTTGACTCTGTTTTATGAATTAGGACCAGTGGGAGCATGTGTGTCTGATGTAGCTTCTTTCAGCCAAAACTTTTGGGGTGTAACTAAAGAGTTAATAAGTAGACTGATTCACTTCTTAGCTGTGCTCTAATTCTGTTGGTGGAAGAGCTAATAAAAAGAACAACAAACAAAAGCCATTCATACCAGAGGGAAAAAAATAATAAAAGGAGACATGACAAAGTAATCTACAAAGATAAATCTCCAAAACTGTGGGGAAGACTCATCCCCTTTGAGACCTGGTACACAAGAGGTGGGAACTGGCCCAGGATCATACATTGGGGTCGTACTTTAGACTGGTGCACACGGCATCTCATTTAATCTCCTTAAAACCGCATGAGATGGGTAGAGCACTCCTATTCTGTCTCCGCAGGTGAGCAGCGTGAGTCGACAGGGCTAATAGCTCATGGTCACACAGCTAGTACCAGCCGATGCGCACATTCAGACTCCAGATCTCTTCCTCTCGTCCCAGCGTGTGTAAGAAGAGTGCCACTCACTTGCTGAAGTCTAGTAAATAAGTTCCCAGTGGCCTGAAAGAGTAAATGAGGTCCCTAACACCAGCTTTCATGCCAAAAAGTCACTTTAAGTATGAGGGGACAAGAGCTCAATTGATTCTTGGTATTTCTAAGGTGAAATAAAACTTAAGTATATACATTATGAGGCCAAAGCTCACACAGAAAGAGTGTTGTGCTTCAGAGTAGTATTCAGAGGCAGAATGGTTATTCTTACAAGGCTACAGGCCCAAAGCGTTTTTTTAACTGCCCGTTATTAGTTGCTTTTGGAACCGGATTTCAAACTGCAGAATAAAACATTCGTGTTGCTTTATACTTGCACCTGGTTATTTCTATAAACAAGAAAGTGTTACCTATCAGACTTGACCTTATTTTATACACGAAACTTGACTTTATTCTCTATAAAACCAAATTTACTGTTTGAGAATGAAAACTGGACATACTTCCCAAAGAGGTGTTTTTAAAAATGCTTTGATATGATGGCATCATTAAAATTAGTGTATCTCCTAGCAAGGTGACCCTTTCGAAGTCGACACTGCTGATACGGCTATGTGGTTGTGGTTTATTGAAAAATCAACTCCATCACTTTGTAGTGACCCTTAAATAAAGCATCCTAAGTCTCCCAATATCTCACAAGTAGTGGACAGATGAGCCAGAGCCTATAAAAGAAGACAACAGGACATCAAGAAATTTAAAATCCAACACCCCTGCAAACAGCAGCGGCAGCAATAACAGATTGGTGTGATTCTTTAAAAGATAATCAAATATTACTGGGTACTGTTCTCTGACGTCCAGGACAGCCACACTGCTTGATAAATTTTTTTTTTTTTTTTGAGACAGAGTCTCACTCTGTCACTGGGGCTAGAGTTCAATGGCATCATAATAGCTCACTGCAACCTCAGACTCCTGGCTCAAGCGATCCTCCTGCCTCGGCCTCCCAGAGTGCTAGGATTACAGGCATGAGCCATCGTGCCCAGCCACATCATTTATCTTTTGCTACAAAATTCCTTGGATTTTTGACTGAGTTGATAGAGTATTCCTTAAGCTTGACAAGTTAATATTCCTAAAACATTTAAAAATCACATTCTATTTTTTT